GACATCTTATGCTAATCCCATAGATTTCTGTATCTGGTTTTCCAATTCAGTCAAGGCACTGATGCCTTTTAAAACAATTAATTCCCATTTCTCTGTATCTTAAGTGATTGTAAATTAGGGATCAACATAGTTACTGTGCTGTAAAGCACAACAAACCCAGAATGTTATCACTTATGAGAAAGAAGAATCAGAACCAGTGTTGTATCCTCTTTTGTAAATACATGAATGATATAGAATTCAGACTCGGATTTTAAGCATCTTTTCTAAAGGTTTTGGTTCAGTCTTTGATAAGGATAGGGATCAACTGTTTAATTTGGCTTGCATTGTAGTTTTAAAACCTAAATCTCTACTGTGAGAGATGAAGTTGTGTTTAGTCCATGAGCAAACATCCAGTCGTTTTTCTGTCATGCCTTTCAGTAAATCTGATTTCCTGTTCTAAAGTGATTAATATTATTCAAAGGGCTGATTCTGAAGTGTCACCAGTTTTTGTTCAACACGGAAAGCTAAAGGGTGGATAGTAAAGAGAAAGGGAAGAAGATTCATGATACTTATTTGGTTGCTTTATCTTTTATTATTTAGCAACCCAGATCAGTCAGAGAGCTACTGGAAGTTGCACTAGGCAGCTTATAACTCATTCAGGGTTATAGGGATCATAGCAATATGTTTCAGCTTTTCTATTCTAGACCATGATCTACAAGAGCTTGTGTACAAGAACTACACAATTTTTATTTCACTCGGAATTTTTTTGACACATTAATTGAATTGCTTAAATATCGTTCACCTATTACTGTGTGTAATCATCTTATTTAGATAGTCATGGAAAATTCTCCATTCCTATGCGTTTGGAGTTAATCTATTCCAAAGAGATTTTATTTTACTCAGTAAGTAAGAACAGTTAGTAGTTGCCAATTCTGAAATTTTCAGTAGAGCAGTATTGAACAGGTTGTCTGCAACTGCAGCATGAAAATGAAATAAAGGTAAATGGAGATGTATTTGTAAAGGATATTAAAATGAATCCATTAGGGGTCAAAGCAATCACTAAATTGATTAGACTAGACTACTTAAATAGATTTTTCTGAATCAATAATTATTATGGAGTCATCAAATATGTACATGTTCTTATGTGTAATTGAACCACTGTCTTGTAATTTATACCAATGTGCATCAAAAGAATGCTCAAAGAATTCTAAAAAGAAAGGCTTTTTCTCCATGTTCCAGCTTATAGCTAGGTGAGGTTTTCTTCCATCTAGGGCATATAAATTTAACTTGCAAGATTCAGAAGTGTAATGGTGCCATTTTTTGAAGAAATAAAGATTATATTCTACTTCCTGCATTCTTCAAATGTTTAATACAGTCAAGTACCATGGAAGAGATTCCTTTTTCTACTGTTTTTTTTTTTTTTAACCTTTGGGAATCATATTAAAATTGTAATTGAAGGTATATAGGAGCCACAACAAGAGAGGATGTCCAGAGAATGAAAGAATGCAACATATTCTGCACCCTAAACATGTTTCTGTACATTCAAACTTTCTGTCTCTAAGTTTTTTTCCTGCCAAAAGCCTTCTGAGTGGCTTTTTCATTTTTGGTTCATTCTGGTTAAGTCAAAATCAAATAATTACCATAATACAAATAAATAAAAATGGGAATTTTCCATATTGGAAAAGTTTTGATTGTGTCTACATCAGGGTATGTGCAAACTGTAAGAATGATCTGAGGAGTGACCAGGCTGGTTACTTGTCAGTATTATGTCTTCAGCATAAACTGTCCGTGAAGTTGTAGTCAGATTAGAATGGAAGAATGCAGCAATAACTCAAATATGGTTTTATCTGAGAGGATAAGACATGCTGTGTATGGTGTATATGGGAAGTTTTATATTTTAAAGTTCCTTAATTTAAAATGACACATGCAGATTTTCTTCAACTTCTGCTTAGACCATTTTTTATTTTAGTTTTTCTTTTTCTTCTCTTTTTTCATCCTTTTTTTCCACTTTACAATCTCATTCTTATTAATATTCTCATTGACTGTTTTTCCAGTATTATACAGCTTCTACATGTGTATAAACAAGCAAAAATATTTCTGCCACAGTACCTGTAAATGTCCTCATCGGCTAGTGTTCTGTCTCACAAATTCAGGTCAAAATGTTTTGGTATGGTAATTTGAGAAAAAAAAACCAAACAACATTTGCTTTTTCCAAATGAGAAGACAAAGTGCTTGTGTGGCAATTACAGAACTGAATCATTTGGGTTCCAGTATTTGGAGATCATTTTCTAATACAAACCTAACATAAAAAGAATAGAATAAAGTACAAAGTGAATTACATATCATTCTGTCTTATTATCTATGTATTACAACTGTATAAGAAACTGATATTTGAACTTCTGACACGTGAATGACCCAGTACCTGAATTATACACATTCTCCTCTAAAAGGCCTGTTGATTTTCATGTTCACAATAAAGTAAATAATTATTTCATGCTGCAGATTAAAACTGAGTTAGAAAGCAGCAAAGCCGCATTTCACAGTGGAAATACAGCTGGTCATGCTCCAAGATCTCGTTGAAATGAGGTGTAGACTAATATTTAATAAGAATATTAGCTTTTTTAAAAACTAAAATACAGTTCACAGTGGCACTGAAGAGGTGGGAACTGTTTCATGTATCTACCTGGCCATGTTGACAGACTGAACTAGTTGCCTCCAGTCAGATTCCATTAAATTGTCTTATACCTTCAAATGTCAGTGTCATGTTGGAAATTAGTAGGCACATCCTCTTGGAATCATTCACCGAAGTGGCTAAAGAATGACCTAATAATCTGTGTGGATCTGTAAGAAGAAGCAGACTTTGCAGGACATGGAGCAAGCATTTTGGCAAATCTCTTTCAATTATTGGTTTATATGTGCTGTGTACTCTCTCTGTCTATACAGAGATCCAAAATCTCCAGATGTTAAGGTTGCATCTTCTGTGAAATTAAATTGTGCTTATTGCATATAAGTCATAAGCCACATGTTTAGGTTTTATGTTTAGGTTTTTGTGTTATTCATCACCTTAAATAGTAACAAATATTTTGGAATCTTTGGTTCTAAGTAGTGCTTAAGTACCATGATGAATGGCCCTATTTAAAATACAGAGATAGACAGAGTCCAGAGAGGTACTATCCTAGACCCTCACCATTTATCCAGTCCTAAAGTGGTTTTCTGTTTTGCAGAGTGAATTCCATTGAATAACATTGATTTCCTATTTCAATAAAGGGAACTGTCATCTGAAAGGTGGATGAAATATTAAGGCTCTACTAGATAATTAGATAGATAGATAGGGAGATACACAGATAAATACTGTGCAAATAAAAAACCCAATATTGTCTTATAAATGCTGTATTTAATTTTGAAAACTAAATAACTGTGAGTTTAATTTTATTTATGTGGAAAATAAAATAAAATTCTTTTAGGATTTTAAGAACCATGGAAAAAATCCATTTTAACAATGTTAATATATTCTGTATAACCATTGATTGCATGTGAAAACATGCAATCCATTTTATGGCCCAGTAATTCTGAAACACCTGAACTCTTCTCTCTCCACACACCACCTGAAATTCACAAGACTAAGCATTCCTTTAGGGCTGGGAATGCATTTGCCAATTTCAGCCCAGAGGGGATTGTAACTAGCGTTGTAAAGCCCTGATGATAGTTTTGTAATGGAAAGCCTGAAATAACCTCAAGTACCACCTCACTAATGTGATTCTGTAATGCCTAACCAGTCTAATTTGAAACTAAGAGTCAGTTATCAAGGAATACATTTGTAGAGTTAATATTGTTAACCTCTTAATTTTCCTCTTCTCTTGGATCTGAATTACAGTTTCCCTTCAAATAAAAGCCACTGATGAGACACCTAATGGTTTTCTACTTTAATTTTGCTGTTCTGATTGCTTTTACAGCTGTCCCCCACTCTCTTTATATTTAACCCCCTTGCAGAGTACTTGCAGTGAAATCGTTACGCAGATCAAAGTATAGTCCTGATGTCCGAACTCTTCCAACTACATTAGCCTCTTCATAAATTGATTAGGAAGAGCATTGCACAGGAAATGGCTATCAACATGGCTTACATTAAGAATGGAGCTAGTGCTCCAAATGTGTTGTTTGTCGTCTCTCTCAGTGTACATAAACACTTGCAGCCCTGTCAGTTCCTTAAAAGTAGTTTGAGTCTTACTAGACACTGACAGTGTTGCCATGGAGTCATACTTCGATTTCACAGCAAAGCTGAAACTGATTTCCAGATAATAATTGAGTTAGAAAACAGAGAGAAAATGAGAATGAATAAACAAAATTCCAAACTGCCTGTTATTAGATTTGATACCTATTTCTTCTGTCTTTCTATATCTGTCACAGATATAATAGTGATGTTGTTTGGGGGTTTGGGTTTTTTTTAGAAGGAAAAATATAATTAAGAATTCAGAATGGAGATTATTCTTTCAAGGAAAAGAAATCAAGTGCTATACGGCATTATTCTCATTTGTGTAGAAACAATGAGGTCTTTAATATGTGACTCTCCTTAATGGGTCTATCTTGAAATTGTGCCTGTATAGGGGATGAAAGCTCTGTTATTGCTTCATTAGCCTGCATCTAGCAGTGATGTTTCCCAAAGCAATTTGCAGCATCCTCTTTTCATTGTCACATTTGATCATTTTAGAATTTGCTCTGAAGACATGACGATGTCCTTATGTGTGAATTTCAGGGTATAAGCCAGTATATTCAATAATCCCTGTTAAGAAACTTAATCAGAATCTGGCTGACAAATGATACGATCAATGCCACAAAATTAATCCATAGTAGAACTGCATAATAAACAGAAGATTACATTTTCTGTGCCAGTTAATGTCCTATAAATTCCTGCTTTACTTGAAATGTATTATTAAACATTTTTGTTACTGCTGTACTGTTATCATGGTATGATGCTTTAAAGTACGAAACACAATTTTATTTGATTTTGTGATTTCTCTTACTAGTGGCTAGCATTCAGAAGCTTCCTGCTGCATCTGTTTTAACTGACATCAATTTCCCCATGAAAGGAAGAAAAGGAATGGTTGATTGGGCACGAAACTCAGAAGACAGGGTTGTCATTCCAAAAAATATCTTCACCCCTATGTCAACAGGTAAAGAAGCATATCAGCATGCTAATTTTGTGTTAGCTTCAACAAGGGAACTCAGAATCTTTGTCTCATAGGACCACTGTACTATATAGAAACAGTTGGTTTATCCACCTTCAAAAGAAATCCAGTACCCACAGCTTATCCCAGATGGAAATGATGGGGCTTAATTTCAGCACCTTGAACAAAAAGTGCTACAGAAATCCTAGACATTATTTTCTACGTCAAGAAGCCAATGCTTAGTTATTGTGCACGGGATTGTACCTGTGGTGGTATGAGGTGAGCTGAAATGTAGCTCTGCTGAACCCCCTGAAGCTGCTCCACTCCAACAGACTGGACCATCCCAACAGGTCACCTAACTTTTACCAAAGGATGCTCAGCAGGCAAATTACCCTGGCTTCAGATACAATTTACAAATACCATTGCAGTGCAGATCTCTGACATTAAAGAATTTAGTCACTAGGCATTAAACTCTAAAGACAGCCTTTGGGGATACTTAACTATAAAGGTAAATGAACTAGCATGGATGTCAGTACACAATGATGGATTTTTTGAAAATGTGATTTTCAGTGGTTTAAATCTTTTGATATATTCCTGACAGTGCTACATCTTTATGACAGACTTCCAGGATATAATTCAAAGTAACGATGGTTTATTTAAAATAAAATTTCTACTAGAAAGACAAATGGTATTCACAGTTTTTTATACTGATGAAGGCTTAGGAAAGAGAGTTTAACAATCTTTTTTCCTTACTCTTTTCAGAACTAGATGAATCAACTGTATTTGTCCTTGGAGCAGTGCTATACAAAAATTTAGAGCTCATTTTGCCCACTTTGAGGTAAGAAATTTCATAAATACAATATGAATTAGACTATTTCGGGATCATAACTACACTACATGTCAGGATAAAAGCAGACAACCAAGACTGTTTGCATATTGGTATTGTTGGATTTTTTTTTTCCTGTTATTTAAAATATATATGTGTATATTTGTCTTTCCTTCATGCTTAGTCATTTGTATGATGGAAATAACCTTTTTATCAAATTGGTTCAATTTATATTTTATGTAATCTATATTAAGCTTAATTATAGAAATATTTGATCAGAAGTATGCACACTGATGTACATTAATGCTCAGGCCACTTATACTTGTGTTTCAAACTACTGTTTGTCCAGTTAGTACAAGTGATCTAGTAATGACATCATAACATGATGTACTAAGGTTGTCTGTTCTACTTCTACAGAAGTCTTTAGTAGTAGTTTTCCAAGGACTTTTTCACTGCAGGTTGTATTCAGAAGGGACAGCAGAGCTATAGAGAGGATCCATTTTAGAAAGAAGACATGCGTGTGCCTGAACAGCTGTGGTATGTCAGTTATGAGGGCCATACACATTCATAAAGAAATAGGAGGGTCTTGTGTTTCACTTTTTCTTTTCTAGACTTGATAACAGACAATTTGGAAATAAACATTTCCCCTCCTCTTCTCAAATTACTGGTTAAGATCATTTCATGGTCCATTAATACTATCTTATTTCACATGTTCCTGTGCACCATTAGTCTACTAATGCCCTTTTACAGTAAAAGAAATGGGTGCAGATTGTGTCAAAATAGCTGCTAATGAATTCACAATAATCAGAAAGGATAGTAATTAGGAAGACACCAGATAACCTTTCCCTACTCTATTTAACCAGAACTTCAGGATTTGAAACAAAGAATGGAAAAACAACAGGTTTTTGCCAAAATCCATTTGAAAACAAAAAAACCCACAGTCCTGAAGAAAAAAAAAAATTCCTAGTAAAGTTGCAATGCACTGTGCAAAGAGTAGATGCAATGTTGGGGACAGAAGTCTCTCTGAGGTAGAGCGCAATTCGAACAGTGATGTCCTGGCAGGACACCTGGAAGCCTTGGGAGTGCTGGTAAGAGCTGTCTATGCTTAAGGCATGGTATAAATGACAGCTCATCCAACTCCGAAATGTCACTAAGCACTTTCCATTTGTTGTGCCAGTTCCTGAAATTAGCCAGGAAGGAAGAGATGTTTGTGAGAGACATTTTTTCTTCTCTTCTCCCATATTCAAAGAAACAGAGCCAAATGGCTATTGTAGTAAGTCCTTTTTGGCAGACCTTAGAGACAATCTGCCAATCCTAGGAAAGCATCAAGGTGACCATGTACATTTCAGACCTTTATATTGTAAACCACAATCTATGATCACGCCTTTTCAGCTCTCATAGGTCAATAGTTTTAATTTACAGAAAACAAGTGTGAACCTTGAATGCTGTGTATTTGCTTATATGAAAAGCCTTTCAGGGCTTTTACTTCATCCATTAGAAAAGTGAGATTTATAGGCCTTACTAGATTTTCCCCAGAATCAATAACATCCCAAGTAGCAGGAATAGGGGCAGAACAGGGACATAAAAGTACAGCAACTTAACTACTATGGACTATGAGAAAGTGCATCTCAGTTCCCAAATTTTTTGCTTTTATCTGTTCTACTTTCAGCTGGTTACTGATTTACACAGCAAATTTGACCGTTTCTCTGTACAATTCAGTTCACAGAGAGGTTTTGTGAGCTTCTAAAGCAAAATGGTCTAATAATCTATGTATATCTATTCATAAAAGAAATCTTTAGAAATTCAAATACGAAGATATCCCACTTTGCCTCTGAATATGTTCAGTATTATTTGAATCCAATTCTCAGCTGCCCAAGAAAAGGAAACGAGCACTATTACTTTCTCTTATGTACGTGAATAAGGAATAAAAGTCATTATTAATCTGTGATATAAAAATATAACACATATTCCCCGGTACCTCTAGTCTCTTCTTTGTTTGGAGTACAGTGCCTCAGTACTTCTCTGCACTTCTTTAATATTTATAATGAAGTTATACTGAAACTTTTACAGCTTACATCAATTACCTCATCAGGAAGTGTATCACATTGGATTTCTTTGCCCATGGCAGTCATAATCAAATTTTGATCTCATGACCTTAAAATAGTAACTTAAAGGTGGCACAATTTCAAACTGTTTTCATAGAATCATAGAATCATTGGACAGTTTGGGTTGGAAGGGACCTTCAAAGATCATCTAGTTCCAACCCCCTTTCCATGGGCAGGGACATCTTCCACTAGATCAGGTTGCTCAAAGCCCCATCCAACCTGACCTTGAACACTTCCAATGATGGGACATCCATAGCTTCTCTGGGCAACCTGTTCCATTGTCTCACCACCCTCGTTGGCAACCTGTGCCAGTGCTTCACCACCCTCAGCATAAAAAATTTCTTCCTTATGTCTATTCTAAATCTACCCTCTTCAGTTTAAACCATTGCACCTTGTCCTGTCACTACAGGACTTGGTAAAAAGTCTCTCTCTTCATCTTTCTTATAAGCCCCCTTTAAGTACTGAAAGGCTGCAATAAGGTCTTCCCAAAGCCTTCTCTTCTGCAGGCTGAACAACCCCAACTCTCAGCCTTTACTCACAGGAGAGACGTTCCAGCCCTCTGATCATCTTTGTGGTCCTCCTCTGGACGTGCTTTAACAGGTCCATGTCTTTCTTATGCTGAGGGCTCCAGAGCTAGCCACAGTACTCCAGGTGGGGTCTCACCAGAGCAGAGTAGAGGGGCAGAATCACCTCCCTCGACCTGCTGGCCACGCTTCTTTTTATGTAGCTTGGCCTTGTGGAATTTCATGAGGTTCACATGGGCCCACTTCTCAAGCCTGCCAAGGTCCCCCTGGATGGCATCCTTTCCCTCTAGCGTATCAGCTGCACCACCGAACTTGGTGTCATCTGCAAACTTGCTGAGGGTGCACTCAATCCCACTGTCTATGTCATTGATGAAGATATTAAATACTATTGAATGCATTTTGATGCATTCAAACCATTTTAATGTTCATTCAGATAGAATCCTGAACTGGAAAAAAGCTGCAACTGTGGTTAGTGCTGAATTTGTTGAGTTGTTATACTCTTTGCAAAAATTAGAACTGCAATGCAGGTTTTAAAGGAAACTTTATTATGGGGTGGTTTATCACTTTATACTCTTTCACGTACATGAATGAAGTGAAGGTTTCCGTACATCCCACTGCATTTGGAAAAGGTTTATTTTTGTTTGCTTACATTTTGAAATGAAGAACTATCATCTTATATGGGTTTATATTAATTACTATTTGTACTAATCTTATTTAACTGTAAGAAGCATTACTGTGATAAACATTTTAGTGGTTATCGTGAACATAGTGAAATGCTTCACCACAATAGCGTTGTGTATGGAGCAAACACTGTAAAATGTGAAGGGAGCTAACGTCATCTAGGTTTTATGATACCTAGAAGTGTGGTAGCTACGCACAATGTATGAATTAAAAAAACATTCTGGATAAGGATCTTATGTGATGCTGTTCTTAATAAAATGACAGTTGACAAAATATGTTAATGGTGGGACTAAAGATAAACAAAACAATAAACCAAGGTAAAATAAGTAAAATGACCTCGTGTTTGAGTTCAAAGGCCACATCATTTACACCTTGACAACCTGATAAAAGAGGTGATTTCTACTGGTTGCAGTTAAATATCCAGAAAGCTTTACCACTTCCCGTGTGATTTCAGTCACTGGCTTTACAGGAGTTAGGGTGAGAGTAAAGTAAATATTTGATTGTATGATACCTGTTTTTTGTAGTTTTCAGAAGAACAAAGGTGACACACATTTCCATACATTCCTTAATATCAGCACTAAAAGGTATGCAAGCTTCTGCATCATCACAAGGAACTTCTTTGTTTAAAATAAACAAACAAATAAACAAAAAATATCTCAGTATATCTTTAGGGGAAATCTTTCAAAGCACCTAACCACAGAATCCCCATCTGGTACATCACAGGTGTTCTGTGTGTAAAATGAGGATTTCATTATCTAGGGCAGCCTATACAATATATTTCACAAACTCCAAAACTAGCTGCATTTTACCATATAGGCTCGATTTTTCTTGTTTTTACTAGCATGGAGTCTGTTAAAAGTAACTTGGCAATTACATTAATATAGAACTTTTTGGACAATGTGTTTAATCCTAGTGGTATATGTATATTATTCAAAGAATTTTGCCACGACTGTTTAAATGAAGGTTAGGGAAAAGAAAAGTACTTTATTCTTCTTTATAAAAATAGAATTTTTTTTTCCACGCACAAGTAAATAAACTTCATCTGATTCTGTTTGCTAATATACTTTGCTGCGTTGCACTGTCCTTGTAATGTCATATGGATTTTTTTAATCATATATTGAAATATTGAATATTTTGAGCGCTATAGACTGAATATTATTTCCATAGCTCTTGCATCCCTGAGCACATTTATGTTATTGTTAGGTTCACAGAAAATTGATTCTCACTATAATACTCATCTGAAAGATACTATATGTGATTCCTCTCCTGGGCACTCCAAAGGAATACATTGCATATTGCCATACTGTAAGATCGTTTTTCACTTTTCCTTTAACAAATAAGAACAAATAAAGGATCAATGATTTTGCTGTAGCAAGCTTTTCTTCCCATCATTTAAACAACCACCATACTTTTCCTGCTATAATTTCCTGCACTGAAATGTTCTTTCCCCATTTGCAACATCATTCCTAACCCCCTCCTTTGGGTGCTGTACAGCCAAAAAGGCCCTTAAATTTCCTTAGGTCAGCTTTGTTAGACTGAAGACAGAGTACCTCAGGCGGGCTTTTAGTGCATAGCATTACTGCTATAGCATCCGTAATTTTTCTGTAATGTATACAACACTTACACATTGAACTATAACTTCTTTCTTACTGTCTTGAGATAGCAACATGCCTTATTCATAAGTTCATTTTTCTTGAGCAACGTAGAGTCATTCTAAAAAGAAAAGAAAACCTGAATTTCATATGACATCGAATCCATATGCATACCCTTATATAAAAGAATATCCTCAAAATGTATACCCAGATAGAAAAAGAGCTTAGTAAAATAACTCTATTTTATTAATATTGTTATTCATTCAGATCAGAAAAAACACTAGGACAGCAGCTCCAGAATCTCTTCTTGAGCCTTTATGCAGTCAAACTTTGTTATCTTGAATCTTCAAGGATTTATTCAACCATAGTTTAAAAGGAATGTAATATATTTTTTGAGTAACTGATTTCAAAATTTGACCCTGATGTGCATTTTTCTGGACAGTCAGCAGAGTTCATTTCTCATTAAAGATAAATTTTAGATTTTTTTTTATGAGGGAGAAAGAAGTAATGGTGAAGTCACTCCTCACCTGTCACAAAAGATCTATAAGATCATGCACTTGCCTAGGAAGTGCAACATAGGTCATTCCCATTCTGTGTCATTCCCAGTATGACAGGGACTGAAACCCACATATTCCACCTCCCGGGACGTTTTGTAAAAGCTGCTTACTTAAATTCCTGAATAAATATTCTCAGCACTAAGCTGTTGTTTAAAAAACTATCTTCAACAAAGATATCAATGACACTGCACCAGTGGTTTTGAGGGAAATTCTTGTGACTACAAGACTTTGTGCTTTAATTCAGTGGCATCTTAACATGTTATGTGAGTTTAGAATATATGTGCCAGATTGCATTCTTCCAGGGACTATCTGAACAGTTAAATATGAGATATGCAGCTCAGCCCAGACAGGACAGTAATGAGTGATGCAGATTTCATTTCACGGTGGTATAGCCATTTACATTTATTTTCTGGTGAAACAGTCTGCTAGGGGCTTTTGAGAACATAAGTGGATTGCTAGGGTTTTAATGAGACTGAGGCAAAATTGGTGTACCAAGGTTACAATCTAGGCACCTGAAGTGCCCTTTTGGATCTCACCCTAGAACCATCAGAACTATACCGAAATTAGATACGGCAAGGAAATGTTTCTCAACCACAAAGATTGACTGTCATCAAGTACTTAAATATCAGTATTTACATTAGCTTATGTGAATTTCCAAAATGGAAAAAATCTTTTAATAGCTAGTAAGTTCTATTTCCACCTGTCATGATATGTTAGAGAAATCAGTTTTGTATTTATTTGGAGTTTTGTTTGTTTGTTTGTTTGTTTTTTAATTCTGCCTTACTTGGGAACATTTATAGATATTCAGCTACTGTATGTACAGTAAGGTATCGTCATTACTCCCCCTCTACAGAATGCACTGAAAGTTTGCTGAATATTAAATGTTAGTCTGATAGAGAGGTATGATTTCATCAACAATGTGTGAGACTTTAAAGTGCAACCAAAGGGAAGAAATAGGAATTAAGTAAAATAGAAAGCTACTTCCATTATATTTTCATTATATGATCTGGCTGAGTAAAATTGGACTAGAATTAACACCTTGCCCCAGAAGGATAATTTCATTCCTTGTGCCGAGTAAAGTGCCCACTGAGTTAAGTTTCTATTACTGTAGCCATGGCAATTCCTGTTTCAATGATCCAGCAGAATGGAATCCTCTCTTAAATACCATTTCCCTAGAGAAAATAAGCAATTAACAACAACAACAACAAAAGAATATTTAAAAGAATATT